GGAGATTCTGATGTATTTTTAGAACCAGTCTTGGAGATTCTATTGTATCTTTAGAACCAGTCTTGGATATTCTGATGTATTTTTAGAACCAGTCTTGGAGATTCTGATGTATTTTTAGAACCAGTCTTGGAGATTCTATTGTATCTTTAGAACCAGTCTTGGATATTCTGATGTATTTTTAGAACCAGTCTTGGAGATTCTGATGTATTTTTAGAACCAGTCTTGGATATTTTGATGTATTTTTAGAACCAGTCTTGGAGATTCTATTGTATTTTTAGGACCAGTCTTGGAGATTCTGATGCATTTTTAGAACCAGTCTTGGAGATTCTATTGTATTTTTAGAACCAGTCTTGGAGATTCTATTGTATTTTTAGAGAATCTGATACTGAAAAAACTTGCATTTAAGTAGTTGATTTCATCGTCATAAGAAGGCAAGAAATCGGGAAATAAAATTTTTAAATGCATAAAATTCGTTAACAAACTTTATAAGTTACTGCGACAGATTAGCATCCATAACGTCTTCTGTATAACGTTGGTTACTGCAACAGATTAGCATCCATAACGTCTTCTATGTAACGATGGTTACTGCAACAGATTAGCGTCCATAACGTCAGGAAACGTTGGTTACTGCAACAGATTAGCATCCATAACGTCTTCTATATAACGTTGGTTACTGCAACAGATTAGCGTCCATAACGTCTTCTATATAACGCTGGTTACTGCAACAGATTAGCATCCATAACGTCTTCTATATAACGTTGGTTACTGCGACAGATTAGCATCCATAACGTCTTCTATATAACGCTGGTTACTGCCGCAGATTAGCATCCATAACGTCTTCTATATAACGCTGGTTACTGCAACAGATTAGCGTCCATAACGTCTTCTATATAACGTTGGTTACTGCAACAGATTAGCATCCATAACGTCTTCTATATAACGATGGTTACTGCGACAGATTAGCATCCATAACGTCTTCTTATGTAGCTTTCCGCGAAATTCAAAACGAACGAACGAACCTTCTTGATAGTTATTGGTTGTTGCGTCAGGTTAGTTTTAGGCCTGAGCTCATGAATAAATAAACATGTACGGAAGCTTGTATATTGTCCCTAGTTGAGATCTTAAAATAATCTGACGTCACACTTACGATATAAAAGAGAGCTTACTCAATCATAAAGCTGAGGCCGAAAATTAACCAGGCTGTTTATCAGATTATAAACTGTTACTTCTTTAATTGTATCAGATATTAGTAATTAAGTATAATTTAATTTCTTTCCTTCTTTAAAATAGCAGTAGGTGGCTCTGCCGCATATAGTATGGTACCATCGACCCAAGGACAGATGATCAGTCCGCCTCCACCACTTGGAGTAGTGCCACCTAGTGACGGAATGTATAGCATGAGCATGAACGGAAGCGACTCGTACCAGTCCGTCTCTTCAATGGGCACTGGTGTACAATCACAGGTGAGGTCAGTTCCGTTTTAATGAAACATCACTTCCGGTCTAATGAAATGACTACTAGACAAAAAGATTCAATTTTGGATTTTTTGATAAACATCTATTCCAACGTTATATAGAAGACGTTATGGATGCTAATCTGTTGCAGTAACCATCGTTATATAGAAGACGTTATGGATGCTAAACTGACGCAGTAACCAACGTTATATAGAAGACGTTATGGATGCTAATCTGTTGCAGTAACCAACGTTATATAGAAGACGTTATGGATGCTAGTCTGTTGCAGTAATCAGCGTTATATAGAAGACGTTATGGATGCTAAACTGACGCAGTAACCAACGTTATATAGAAGACGTTATGGATGCTAGTCTGTTGCAGTAACCAACGTTATATAGAAGACATTATGGATGCTAATCTGTCGCAGTAACCAACGGTATACAGAAGACGTTATGGATGATAATCTGTTGCAGTAACCAACGTTATATAGAAGACATTATGGATACTAATCTGTTGCAGTAACCAACGTTATATAGAAGACGTTATGGAT